GTGTGTGTGTGTGAGTGAGTGTGTGTGTGTGAGTGAGTGTGTGTGTGTGTGTGTGTGTGTGTGTGTGAGTGTGTGTGTGTGTAAGATGTTGAGGACATTGGATCCCCTGAAGCAGGAATTAAGGTGGTCTCGAGCTGCCAGGCATAGGCACTGGAACTCAGGCCCTCTGAAAGATCAGGGAGTGCTCTTAACTGCTGAATCATTTCTCTGCCCCTAGGACTTTTTTATTTTAACAAAAAAATACATTTTAAACAACTGGAACTACCCATTGTCTTTCACAAGTCATGTGTCCCTAGAGAAGGGAGACACTTAGCCAGTAAGGCCCTACTTCCAAATGGCATCACCTCAGGGGTAGGATTTCTACCCAGGAACTGCCCTGAGAGGACATTCAGACCACAGCGGTGTGCCAGTCAGGCCCCTTAAGTGAGAACTGGGGGAGAGCCCAAGATCTGGAACTATGCAAGGTTAGGGGAAGGGCTTCCCAGAAGGAGGCAGCCTTCACACAGGCCCTGGGGCAGGAACAAGCTTGACATGTGAACCAGGGCTGAGCAGGAGAAGGCTGGAAGATGAGTGGGTGCAGCCGTGTCGTTACAGCCCTCCTGTGTCCTTGGCATTGAGCATAGATTTTATATCAAGCAAGGTTGACTGACAGCCCCATTTGTTATTCAATATACAGGTCCCAGGGCAGGGAGATCACAGAGCATGCTGCTCCTTTTGCCCACTCTTGGTTCTCTTTCTACACTGAGGACCTGTCTTATGTAAGAACTAGGGAAAGACATTTCCAAACAAAACATGTCACTGTGGGTAGTGACAGTTCCTTCCTCACACTGCTGCTCTCCTACGGTTTGCCCTTTGGCTGGGATCCTTGGAGCTAAACAGACCCCAGTACCTGTGGGGCAGAGTTTGAAGAAGTAGTATATTCCTGCTATAATTTTACCCTTGTAAAAGGCAAGAAAACAATACAACAATACAGCCCCAAGATGTGGTCTCTTCCCAGCTAACTGCCAAGGTCAAATATTTGGACCCACCTTGTCTTCTGACCCAGATCACCAAAGGCCTGAGTAAAGGGCTCTCAGACAGCAAATGACCCCCTCCCATATCAGTGCCTGCCCTCCCAAGGTGCAGACCAGTGGGCCCTGAGGACACACTCAGCCCCACAGGACAGATCCTGCTCCACCTAGGGCAGCATGCAACCTCCGCTTAGCCTTCCATTCCCTCACACACTTTGTCCCTAAACCTAACAGTTCCGGACACAATACTGGCCCCCCACAACTGGCCCCCCCATGCTCTGCCTACAAAGTACCTAGATGACAGCACACAGGGTCCCACTAGGTCCCTATAGGGGTTGTCCCTGGACTCTGCCTCCAATGGTTCTAAAGTTCAACTATGGAATACCAGGCTTATGGGTCCTTCGCCAGCACTCCTAGAGGGTCCGAGCTCCACACAACGAGGCCTGAAGGACATCAGTGTAAAAGCAGGCTCTTCCGTGTTGCTACCAGTTCTTCTCTCTCTGGCTTTTTTTATGTTTGTTCTTTTAAAAAACAGGGGCTGGAGAGATGGGGCTCAGCAAGTTATACACCTGCCTGCCCAGCATGCACGAAGCCCAGAGTTCCACCTCTGGAGAAAGAAAAGGGACCCAGATGTTATGGTGCACACAAGTAGCCTCAGCGCTCAGGAGGCTGAGGCAGGAAGGGGTCAAGTTCTAGACCACCCTGGGCTACATATCAAGATCCTGTCTCAAAAGAAAAAAAAAAAAAAAGCCACAAGCAGAATGGGCTGTTGTTGTCTCATCAGTTGCCCTCTCATTTCTTAGAACCCAGAGCCAGAAGTGGAGTTGTAGAGATATGAGCTTTACCACCTGGATCCCCAGGGCATTCTTACGACAATGTCCCTGTATGAAGATGGCACTGACCTCAGGAAGGACCCTGCATTCACCCCAGTTCCAGTGTGTACCTCCTTCCCCCTCCAGGAGGCATCCAGATGGCTCAGAGGCTGTGGAGATCAAACCCAGGCCTCCAGACCCCTAGCTCAGGGCCCAGTAGCCACCACAAGCACTGGACTAGGAGTCAGCAGGCCTGGACTTGGATGTTGGCTTCACGAAGGATCCATTCAATTCTAAGGATAAACACCACCTCCCAAGGTCCTGGCCCTCAGCTCCAGGCGTCACTGGAACTTTTAAAGACCTGTTCCTCCATCAGATCTGCCATCCGGCAACTCTCTGCTCAGTTGAGAGAGGGTAGAGGTAAGAGGTAAGAGCAGTGTGCAGGTGACCACAGGAGACTGTTCCAGCTCAGGAGAAAGTCACGACTAACAGAGATCCCAGGAGTGGTGGTTGTGTCCATCACTGGGACCTGCTTCAACACTCCTTGTCCTGTAAATATTGGGGGCAACTGGGTGGGTGGACATGGCAGGTTCTCACCCTTGGGTGCTCTCCAAGCCAGGAACACCTCCATGCTCTCTGCCCTCCAGCAAGCTCACCCTGTTCCAAGGCCCAGGGCTGCATAATGTTTGCTCCCTGATCTAGTCTGCTGGCGGCCCCCAGCCCTGTCCTGAAGCTTCCCTCTCTCCATAACCTTCAGTGGCTCCCAGGAACAAGCTTCAGGGCTTAGGGGCAGCCTTCCATCCACCGGTCCTTTGTGTTTGAAAAGTTCATCTTGGCTGTCATCCAAATCCAAGTCTCTGGCCCTACCTGGGCGCACTCGGACCTCAGACTCCTAGCACGTTCGCCTAAGGAGACACGGGGCCTAGGAGGCCCCTCCACGTGGGGAGCACTTCTAGAATTTTCACAACTAGCTGCGTCCAATCCCGCAGGCCTTGGAGAGTCGCAGACTTCCACGGGAGTGCTCGCCACAATGTCCCCATGACACTGGCAAGGGCGATGAGTTTGAGCCGCAGTCGCATCCAAACACCGTGAGGGGGCCCCGGGGTCTAAGCAGCGCGAGCGCCGCCCCTCGCACTAAGCAATTGGGAGGTTCCGGGATCCAATGCATCCAATGCGCAATGTGCCCACTGCACTGCCCCTTCCCTGTGCCGCGCGGGCGGGCCCGAGAAGCACAGTCTTTGTCTGCTGCGCCCCGTAGCGCCCCCGCCCGCCTTGCCCAAGGCCACACCTTCCCGGCGCGCGCAGCCAATGAAATTTGGCGGCGGCACCCAGAACGCGGGGTGTTGTCCGCGCCTCGTGTACCCATTGGTTGCGCTCTGCACCCGCGGGGGCTGCAGCTGGTAGGGCCGGGCGCGCAGCGTTAGGTGAGGCCCGGCGTGCTGGACGCCCGGCGAGCGCTTTCCTGGGAGTCGTCACCCAGCCGCCACCCCAACCAGGCTTTGCGCCCGGCGGCCAGACAGCCGGAGCCCCGAGGAGTAGTAGAACTCAGGCGGCTCGTGGGGCCGGGCCATGGCGCTCGACTTCCTGGCTGGATGCGCTGGAGGTAAGGGGACTCCAGGCATGCCAGGCACGCAGCCTGCCTGGTGCGCGGAGACAGGTGTCTTCTTGACCCTTCTGTGTGCACTGGGTGTGAGGTCTGGGGATCCCGGCGGTACCGCGGCTTGGCCAGAAGCAGGGATAGACGCGAGGATGCGGGCGCGCAGCCCGCGGATTCTTCCCTCCCTGCAGCTGTCCGAGTGAGGCTGGTGACACCGTGCGACCTCCTAGAGGGCTGGCCTGACCCTAGGCGCCCAGTGCTTTCCTCTGTGGTGCTTTGAGCTTCTAGAGGGCACAGAAGAGGAAACGGCCTACTGGGTGGTCAAGTCAACCTCACTCGGGAGAGCTTGAGGCGGAGAGCAGACCAGGTTTACCCATAACCCGACTGTGTGGACCTGTTGAACCTTTAGTGTCTTTTCTTGCTCCCAGAGGCATAGTTTATGTAGTAAGTATTAAATACAGAACCTGGTTTAACCATTGGGATTCCAGGCAAATTGGCCGAGGTGGCAGTGGTCTGACTGGTTATGCCAACGCTGAGTTCAGCTCTGAGGGCCAGGCCTGGCTCCTCACCCACCTGTCCTATTGTCTTCCTCTGCTTACCATCATAGCCCTACCCGGAAAGGTCTCACCTGAAAAAGGTCTTGCCTTGGCCTTAGGTGCTTAATCCGTGCTTGCTTCTTCCTGGGCGGAGAAGGCTGGTCTGGCAGGATGCCTTCCCAGGGCAGTGATGTGCCCACAAAGGGCTTGAGAGCCATCAGGCTCTTAGCCATGCTTTCCTCTGTAAGCCATGGTAGAGGGACAAAGCCCAGGATTTCTGCAAGTTGGTGGAGAATTAGAGACCCAGACGGGGTCCCATCTTAGCCCCCATCTGTAGCAGGAAGGATGAAGAACCCTTCTATGACCAAGCCCCCCTTATTTTGTTGCAGTTTCCCCAGGGCCACTGTGGTTCCCTCTGTGGTTGCAACCTCCGGATCTGCTTAGAGACCCAGACCACCCCCATGGTTCAGCCACCCCTTTCCTACCTGGGATGCCCATCCTTCCTCATCCAGGCTGTCTCGGGGGGATCATGTGCCCTACCTTCAGCCCCAGTATGCATTTCCACCCAGGCTGCATAGAGAGTGCCCAGCTGCATGGAAGTAATGCAGGCTGGGCTGCATAGAGAGTGCCCAGCTGCATGGAAGTAATGCAGGCTGGGCTGCATAGAGAGTGCCCAGCTGCATGGAAGTAATGCAGGCTGGGCTGCATAGAGAGTGCCCAGCTGCATGGAAGTAGTGCAGGCTGGGTCTGAGATGGGAGTCACCTGCCGGGCCTCTTCTGGGCTCATCCAGTAAGGAAAGAAATGGGGGAGGTTGTAATCTCTCTCTCTCTAAAGGGATAGGGCCGCTGGGGGGTGGACAGTGATCTGATTGTGCCCTGGGTGTGCCTTCGGGGTTCCCATCACTGCATGCTGTCCAACATGGTCTGGATGTGGGGATCTGGCCTCCTAAAGCACCTGCCTGGGAGGGATGGTGGTGGGGCCACTTTTCCAGAGAAAGAATGCTCTGTGGGTGTGTCTGCATGGCCCAACACACATCCTATCCCGCCTTTAGCTTCTGTGGGAGGCAGGGCAAATATCTTGAGTAATGATTGGTTTCTGGTAGAAACTTACTATTAGAAGGGTAGGGATGCTGCTAACCACTCCCTACCGTGAGAGGATGGGTCCTGAGGCCACAGCGGCTCCTGGATAGGGCATGGGCTGGTGTGACAGAAATGCCAGATAGCCAGCTAGTGTCTGTGGAGGCAACAGGCCTGTCATCTCTCTCAGAACTGTGCTCCCAGGTGTCTCTAGAACAGCAGTCCCTTCCTGTCCTCGGATGCTCATGGTGTCAGAGTTGCCCTGGCTGTGGTCAGTGGCTTTGGATTTGGAGGATGGGTCCCTTTCCGTTGGTGTGACTAGACTTGGGGGGGTCCTCTCAGAGATGGTGATGCAGGGCTCCCTGGCCCTCAAAGGGACTGTGATGTCAAAAGGTCATGGGTAGGGAGTGAGGATGCGAAGACCTGCCCACTTGGGACCCCGCCCCCCCCAGGCTTCCCAGCAGAAGGGGTAGGTTAGAGGCTTCATGGCCTCTGCAGTCTTGGAAGTGCCAAAGGCTGTTGTTGCTGGCATCAGGGGGCCCTTGGAGGGAGAGGGAGGAAGGTGAGCAGGGCATACCCAGATGCCCAACACACCAGCCTTGGGTGTTAGGCTTTCTGAAGTCCTAAAAGATTCAGATTAGCCTAAGAAAAAAAGTTCAGGAAGTAGGATTTGCAAATACAAAAGGCAGTAAGCAGGGGCTGGTGAGTTCTGGTTTTGTCCCAGCCACCACTAACCAGAAGGTTAAAAGCAGGTGGAAATTGGTGGCTCTTCCAAGGGAGGAAACAAGGTCCCACCACTAGAAACAGGTGCTGTGGGGAGGACACGAGGGGCTCCGAGAGAAAAGGAGCCTGCCTGGAAATGGTGACTAGGGGGAATAGATTATAGTGGAAATTTCCCCGGCTTGGAACAGGGCCTGAATCTGCAACTCGAGGGCTAGTGGAGTGCCAAGGGGGGTTGCTTTAAAGAAACAGGCACACCCTTGGCATCCTCTGGCAACATTCCTAAAACCCACATGTAAAATCTCCAAGGTGTCCTGACAGAACAGTGAGGGGAGGGTTAGCAGTAGTAGCTTCTCACCTGCAGTACTGGGTGTCACCCAGCAGACGCCAAGATGAGAGGAGCTGTGGGAAAGTGGCAGTGATGGGGCTCAGGGGTGGGTGAGGGCTCAGGGCTGTCCCCCTTTTTCCTCTGTAAAGACTGGAGTGTTACTAGAAAGTGTCTTACTAAACTGAAAGTGCTGAACGCTAAGAGCAGATCACAGGAAAGCCAGACATGGTAGCACACTTGCGGGGACAGACTGATCTCTGAGAGTCTGAAGCCAGCCTGGTCCAGATAGGGAGACCCAGGGCAGCCAGGGTCACACAGTGAGACCCTGTCTCACAAAGAAAACAAACAATGGTTTGGCTTGTTTGATTTATTTGTTTGTTTGTTTGTTTGTTTGTTTTGGACAGAAGCATGAAACACAGTGGACATTATGGAAGGATGCAAGGCACAGTTTGGGAGCAGATGTCGCCCTTTAGTGTCTCCTGGCAGGATCTGTGGCCATCCCTGACAGGACCAGGAGAGATGAGTAGTTAGGACCCAGTCCTGGAGCATGGCGAGAGCTGCAGTTGCATCACTTACTGGCCATGTCCCATAGATGTACTGCTGTTGGCTTCTCCGTTCTGGTTTCCTCATGTGTAGAATGAGTTCATCGCTTCTGGAGTGGGAGAGTTAGGATCGGTATGAACCAAGAACAGTGACTGCCAGTGTGTAATGTTACTGTTCATTGCCCAACACTAACCATTGCCGTTAGACATAAAATACTAGCAACCAAAGGGGACTTCTTTCTTTCTGCATTGCTAAGGGAGGAACCTAGGGCCTCAAGCACTGTGAGCAAGCGCTCCACCACTGGCTACAGGCCAGCCCCAGAGAGGCTTGGCAGATGTTTCCTAGAGAAGGAAACCTCGCTGATTTGCTGACTTCTGTTTCTTTTGAGAAATGGGGTCATTGGACTGCAGAGGGTACGGGGGTGAAGAGAGTCACACCGATGTTCACTACCAACAGGCCACTCTGAGGAGTGTTCTTAAGCCTTTGGGGAGAGGTGAACCCTGCTATTGTGGGTGGGGTCTCTGGGAGGCCCTTAAGTGATAAATAAACTGAGCATGACTCAGAGTAGTGTGGCTCTTGGGAGGTGTCAGCCAGCAGGCAGCAGGTCCTCGGGCAGTATTTCCTGGGTGTTCCTAATCTCCAGGCTATCCTAGAGTGGTGTGGGGGAGGGTAGGGGAAGGAGGATGCTAAGTGCCTTTCAGGTGACCAAGGCCAAGACAATGAGCCCTTCCTGAACGTGCCTGGAAGATAAGTAACAGAAGGAAAATTCAAATCCCAGTGACAGGCTGTCTGTCATCCTATCCCAACAGCCCTGGTTCAAATCCCAGTGGCAGGCTAACCCCCAACTCCAACATCCCTGAGCCTCCTGTAGTGTCAGGCTTTGGGATGGCGCTATACAGTTCCCCAGGGGACACATCACCTCAGGGAGCTGCAGGGGAAGGCAGAGGACACAGCTCTGAGTTAAGCTGATGCTGGCTTCCCCTTGTTACCAGAGGGGAAGTTACAGGAATTCCTGCGATGTACCCAGGGTCCTGTAGGGACCCTATCAGTGTTCCCCTCCCATGTGCCATGCCTGTCCATCCTTCCTTGGCAGAACCTCACTGTCCCAGGGTTCTGCAAAGTTCTAAGGCACTTGGTCACGGGTACCTTTTTCTTCCAGGTGTGGCAGGTGTGCTTGTGGGACACCCTTTTGACACAGTCAAGGTGAGTCTCTTGTGCAGGGAAAGACAGGCTGGGACAGGCCTTCGGGGTTTCTGACCTGGGAATACAGTAGAGATCATCCCTCAGGCTTTAAATGAAGGCAGGGCAATTGCCCCTCACTGAACCAACTGACTGACCCTTCCTCCTGGGCATTGCCCCACAGAGGCCGAACTGCCTGAGTTCACAGACTCAGCTTTACTTGGCAGAGAATGAGGTGTTTGTTGATGGACAGGCTTCTTGTCAGCCAGAGCGAGAAAGCGCACCCTGTTCTGATGTCTAGCTCCCCTAGCATCTTCTTTGAATTGTTATTTTATGTTTTGCCTGCATGTATGTTTGTGTGTCATGTGTGTGCCTGGTGGAACTGGAGTTTCAGGCGGTTGTGCGCAGCCACGTAGGAGCTGGGAATTGAACCCAGATCTTCGGGGAGATCAGCCAGTACCCTTAACTGCTGAGCCATCTCTTTAAGCCCACCCCTAACATCTTCCTGAAAGAAAGAGATGGGAAAAGGCAGAAATATAAGGAATCAAACCCTGCTGGGCCAGGTGTGGTAGTAACACACCTGGAATTCCAGTCCTGGGGAGAGTTAAGAATTTAACACCAACTTGTGTTAGGAAAGCCTGCCTCCACAGCCAGATATGGTAGCGGCACTGGGAGGCTAAGCCAGAAGGACCACAAGTTTGAGGCCAGCCTGAGTTGTATAGCAAAACCACGTCACACACACACCAGAAATAAACTCGAGGCTGTTTCTCTTTTGGCCTTTATGGATCAGTGCTTGTCATGACTGTTTTGAGTGTTGGCATGTACCTGCAAGGCAGCGTCACCCAGCAAGATCCTAAGGAACACTTTAGCCAGGGCTCTGAACATGGACGGATGCCCTGGGGCAGGTACCTCCTGAATCATACCTCGATCATAACTGGAGCTCCGGGTCCTTAGGGTCCCAGGACAGAGGTCAAGGAGTCAGACCCATACTGTCTGGTGGAAAAGCCCTGTGGCTGGACTTGTAGGTGCTCAAGCTAGTCACATCAGGACCCTGCCTTAGTCATTTTCCTCTCTCCCAGTGGCCTGTGAGCAGCCTAGACGAGACCTGTACTTGGTTCAGGCTCTAAGCCAGGCTCCGTTCCCACTAGTGTGAAGGAAAAGCTGGAGGCTGAACACACACCATCCTGAGCTAGCTCCTTCAGTGAACCAGGTGTTTTTTGGCACAGAAAGCAGCTCATTAATTCAGAGCTGGGGTTTCTTCCAGTGTAGTGTAAGGGCCTGACCTTTGCACTGGCTTCAACCTTACAAAGCCCTGTCCTTGGTCCAGGCATCTGCAAGGTGACAGGGTGGATGAGGTTACAAAGGCCCGTTGTTCACTGAGCACCAGGAACTTGTGCCACGTTAATGGGTTAATTGCAGGCTCCAGTCAGCATAGGGCAGTCACCTGGTATCCCTGGGGAGAAGGCCAGAGAGCAGACTCTTGGCAAGCTGTGGCCCATGAATTCCATTCATAGGCTTGCAAGAAGGAAGCCCTGGTACAACCTGTCCACAAGGTGACCCACCTTGCCCACATTCTGCCTGGATGCCTTCTCCCACCCACAGTGAGGCTGGCCATAGTTCTCGTGGTCAAATGTCTCAAGCACCTCCCACAGCTGTATTCAGCCAATAAGAGCTGTGGATTTACTTCCTCAGCCTGGCATTGCAGAGGCTACTCACTTGACTGGGACTCGTTCAGGAAGCAGGTCCCTCGGGCATGAAAGCACTTTTGTCCTGGTAGTTCCAACTCCTCCAAGCTGCTGAGCCCACAACTATCCCTCTATAGGAGTCTCTCCCCTGTCCACAGATAACCTGTAAAGTGATCTTTCAGAAAAATCAATTTGTATTACCTCCACAGCTCCCAACTATGGTTGAGCTATTGACATTCCAGCAAAATGGCCATAAAAAGCTGCTTGTTTTAAAGGTCTATGGGTGTTTTGTCTGTCTGTCTGTACATGTACCGTCTATGTGCCTGATGCCCGTGGAGGCCAGAAGAGGGTTTTGGATTCCCTGGAACTGGAGTTACAGAAGATTTGAACCACAGAGTGGGTGCTGGGGATTGAACCTGAGTCCTCTCATAGAGAGCTCTCAATCGCTGAGCGACCTCTCCAGCCCTTTCACAAGCTAGGTAAACTATTGTAGTCCCATCACTGAGACACAGCCCCAGCCCATGACTGACCCTTTCTGAATCGGGTCTAGGGGACTTCCTAGCTCTTGAGACCATGGTATGACCTTGTTTCCCCCACAAAGTAACACGGATTCCAAGTTCAGGATCCGCCCCTCTCCTCATACCGTCATGAAGCCAGCATATCAAGAGCAGATAAGCTCTCAGGCGACGAAGAGTGCTTTGATGTGTAAGAGGTTCTGGGCCACTGGGTCTGGCAGTGTCCCCAGGTCCTGGAGTTATTGCCATGGGTACCTCGGGAGGCTGACGGCTGTCTGCCACCACTCATGATTATGGTTGTCAAAGGGCCACTAGCAGGAACCAAACAGGAGCAGAACAGAGGCCCAGTACCCCCACCCTGATGGAGGTTCGTGGTGGGACACCAGGCTGGGATTCCTCTTTGGCCTCAGCCCCACGTGAGAGGGCAAGTGTCACCTGAACAAGGCTTGGTCCCGAGAGCTGTCTCGCGGTAGTGCAGGAGAGACCTCTCTTCTAATTGTCTTGGGGACTCCCAGAGCATCTGCAGCTGGCTGTCCTTGTAGCTCTTAGCTCTCAAACACCCAACTGGCTGCACCCTGGAATCCCAGATTCACAAGTAACTTGGCTGCCGGCCCTGTGCAGGCCAGGCCAGGCCAGGGGGATTGCTTCAATGGCTCTGCCTGTCCCTGCAGGTGCGGCTGCAGGTACAGAACACGGAGAAGCCCCAGTACCGAGGGACACTGCACTGCTTCCAGTCCATCGTCAAGCAGGAGAGTGTAAGTGCAGTTGTCAGGCTGGGGAGCAAGCCTGGAGGTGCTATCACCCCAGGCCCACTGGGGTGGGTGTCCATGAGGGACCATGGGCGTGTGAATGGATTGCTGGGGCATCCTGGATTGAGGACTTTGTATCTAACAGAATTCTGCGTGCTGCCTGTGAGCAGCCAGCGGTTAGGGCTGCCACTTGTGTATGGAGGGCTGAGGGGAGTGGCTGGGCAAGGCAAGCAGGGTGGCACCCCTCATCCCTGATGGCATTTCTGTCTCTGCAGGTGCTGGGCCTGTATAAAGGTCTGGGCTCACCACTAATGGGGCTCACCTTTATCAATGCACTGGTGTTTGGGGTGCAAGGCAACACCCTTAGGGCCTTGGGCCAGGACTCACCACTCAATCAGTTCCTAGCTGGTGCGGCAGCAGGCGCCATTCAGTGTGTCATCTGTTGCCCCATGGAACTGGCCAAGACAAGGCTACAGCTGCAAGATGTGGGCCCTGCCCGAACCTACAAGGGCTCCCTGGACTGCCTGGTGCAGATTTACCGGCACGAGGGCCTGCGTGGCATCAACCGAGGCATGGTGTCCACGCTTCTGCGCGAGACACCCAGCTTTGGCGTCTACTTCCTCACCTACGACGTACTGACGCGCGGCATGGGCTGCGAGCCCGATGACCGCCTGCTGGTGCCCAAGCTGCTGCTGGCGGGGGGCACATCGGGCATCACATCCTGGCTCTCCACCTATCCCATGGACGTGGTTAAGTCACGGCTACAAGCCGACGGGCTGCAAGGAGCCCCTCGCTACCGCGGCATCCTCGACTGCATGCGGCAGAGCTACCAGGCTGAGGGCTGGCGCGTCTTCACGCGAGGGCTGGCCTCCACGCTGTTACGCGCTTTCCCGGTCAATGCTGCCACCTTCGCCACAGTCACTGTGGTGCTCACGTACACCCGGGGCGAGGAGGCGGTCCAACTAGACAGCGAGGCAGTTCCGGGCACCTCTGCCACCCCTGCTGGGCCTGCTCTGGCCCAGCCTTCCAGTCTGTGATGCTGCCTAACTTCCCCAGAGCCACTTGGCTGAAACCTGACACAGATAATGTGGCTTCTCAGCCAGTCTCTCTGCTCCTAGGCTGGTGACAGCAGCCAGGCTATACCCCGCCGACCTCCTGTTTTCTCAGCTGTAAAATGGAGACTCTTCCTCATGCATGGTATATTTGGGAAGGTCAAGCCTGGCTAAGTTGACACTCTGCAGACAGCACTGCCAGTGACAATCTCCCAAGACCTACACTCCAGGGCTCTCTCCTGAGCCAACCGTTAACAGGCTGGTCAAGGACCCACCCATTTCCCAAATCCCCATCCACAGTCCCAGGAAGAATTGGCCACCTCTTACCATTAGGGGCAGAGGCCAGTGTAGAGTGTGCCTGGCACTTCTCAGCTGCTGCCCTTGAACTGCATATGGGGGCTAGGGCCCTGGCACCGAGCCTGTTGAGGATCCTGCCTGTGCAGAGCCTGCTTGGGAAGCTGATAGGCCACTGGCCTCAGTGTCTCCACAATGAAATTGTGTGACAGCTGTGGCAAGAGGCAGTCTTCTCATCCCTGGGCCTCTAGCTACCTGCCTGTAAAATGGGGACCTGGGTGAGCAGACGACTGGCTCACTACTGCCAGTCAGGATTCCCAATGATGGGTAGGCAGAGGGACCAGGAGAACACAGTGTGGGATTGTTCCCCTTCCCAGTAAATATCTTTGTGGGCATTCTCAGTGCCTGTGCCTCTGGTCTTGGCACCAGGTACAGTGTAGCCTGTTTGGGCCCACCTGTGCTCTCTAGCTGGCTATCACTGTTATACAGGGCCTCTAAAGGAATAAAGTCTTGTTTTCTAAGTGTGTGAGACTCCTCTCTGCATGGTGCAAGGCACTTCATTACTCTGCATTCAGTGGCTGTAGTCTGTGTACTTGGACCTGAGTAGGTCAAGGGTGTATCTAAGCCTTCCTGGTCTACGTGGTGGTAAATGGAGGCATGAGGGTTACTTAAAGTAAAATCGCAAGCATGCCCTTTAGCATGTATTGGCTGTCATTCCAGGAATTGGAGGCCTGTGGTAGGGACACAGATCCCCTGGTGGAGGACAGGTATGAGTGTGTGTGCCCTGTGACTAGTCTTTCTCTGTCCTGCCAACTCCCAAATCATGACATGGAGACTTATTTATAATTATGAAAGGTCAGCGTTAGCTTAGGCTTGTTTCTAACTAGCTCTTATAACTGAAACCAATCCATTTCTATTAATGTTCCCACTGGCTCATGGCTTTCACCTCTCCTACTTCCTCTGCTTCTGGCTGGTGACTCCACCTTGCTTCCTCCCAGAGGTCTCTCTGTCTGGAAGTCCCGCCAATACCTCCTGCCTAGCTACTGGCCACTTAGCATTTTATTAAACCAGTCACAGTGACATATTTTTAAACTGTAATCAAATATCTCACATTTCCTCCCTTTTGTCTAAATAAAAAGAGTTTTAACTTTAACAGAGTAAAACTATATATAATAAAAACAATTATATTTAATTATATTACAATTATATTACAATTATTTACAACATCCAGTTCATTTGTATTTGGCAAATTTGGAGAAATTACCCTATTAATCTTGATGAGTTCAAAGTTTTATACTTAAACCATATTTTTTTATCATACTTCTATTACCAACCCCAAACTATTTAGACCTCAAAACATTTTCTTAGATGAACAATTGAAGCTTTTATGTTTCTCAACTTTATACACTTTACACCTCTTTTGTGAGCTTCTTTTCTGAATTTGGTAACAAGGGAAACTGTAACTATCTTGTCTCAACTCCACTAGAGACTCAAGAAGGAGATAATGTTATGGAGTAAACAGGAAGTGCAGAGCAAGCAACTTCCAAAACTATAGAAATGACAGAGACATCTGGCTGCCTGGACAGCCACCTAAGGTTCCTCTGCAACACAGAGGCCTGGAATATCTGACAAGACTTTTCTGTAAAGCAGGAATTTTGAAGGGCTGGCCTACCTTGTCTTGGCAAAGTTAGGCAGTCTCTTTTGTGTCCTGCTTGTCCGGTTTGGACAGTACACTATCAGCAGCAGTTTGAGGGAAGGGCAGTTTCTTTGCTCAGTGATTAACTTTGTTACAAAAAGCAAACTCCATGTGGAGGCTGTTAGATGTCCATCATCTTCTTCTGAAGTAGATGAGTGCTGCCAGGGGCAGATGTATCTCATTGTCCAGAAAAGCCTTGCGTTATCAAAACATCTTAAATGCCATATTCTGTGGGTCTTGGAAATGTTTGAAGACCACCTATCTAAAATATAGCTCTGTTTGACCTTGAAAACATACCTAACATGACTACAAGTTTGCTTATTATAGATGACCACTAATCTGCATTTCTTAATTATACATTACAATTTTAAATGAGCTGCACAATACCCCAAAGAGTAGACACATAGAGTATAACAAAAATAACTTTAAATTTGTATCAATATACCAAAACCCGTACCAATGTAAAATATTTGAGGTAATAGTTGTCCTTTCTCGCTGGGTGTTCATTGGTGGTGCACACCTTTAATCCCAGCACTCGGGAGGCAGAGATAGGCGGATCTCTTGTGAACTCGAGGCCAGCCTGGCCTACAGAGCGAGTGCCAGGATAGGCTCCAAAGCTACACAGAGAAACCCTTTCTCCAAAAACAAAAAAGTTGTCGTTTTTATCCATATCCCCCCTAAATGATGACAAACAACCTCATGACCAAATGACCAAAAACACACACCAACCCACCTCTTGGGAATGTGGGTGTTGTGTTCTCTAGACTGCTTTCTGCTGTCTGTGGGCAATAGAACATTGAGACAATGATCAAGTCCTGGGAAAAAGAGCCATGACGTTTGTTCTTCAGTGTCTGTACAATGGGAAAGCACAACACTTATCTGCACTTCTGGCTAGAATAGTAGGTGAGGCTGAACCACCTCGAAATTATTCTGGATGCAGAACTCTGAGGAAATTGCAACAGAGGCCCTCGGAGAGGTTGGATTACCTGGGCTACTTTTTTTTTTTTTTTTTTTTGAAAAAAGGGTTTCTCTGTCAACAGCCCTAGCTATCCTAGAACTAGCTTTGTAGACAGGCTGGCCTCGAACTCACAGAGATCCATCTGCCTCTGCCTCTGCCTCCCAAGTGCTGGGATTAAAGGCGTGTGCCACCACTGCACAGCCTGGGCTGCTTGTCTTTATTGGTATCTGGTTCTTTTTTATTTTTTTTTCTTCTGAAAACACACAAACTTAAAGGTAACATACAGATCTGCATTAACACAGTATGGAATGTGCAGTGTGCACAAGTCTACTAAAGATGATTTTTTTGTGGTTTCTTTTATGTTTGAGCAGGTAAAAGGCATTTGTTAACTTTATAATTTGTTTGGATTGTATAACCAAACTGTAAATTAATCTCTATCCATACCTTATGAATGGATGCCATGTAATAATAAATCATGAAACAAAGGAGTCAAGACCATGATGGGGAAACCCACAGAATCAGCTGCCAAGGGCTAGAGAGAGATCACTGACTCAGGTCTGACAAATAGGGAACCTGCGTAAGTCCGAACTAGACTCCCTTAATAGGTGGCAAAGGTGTGACTGGGACAATCTATGAGGCCACTGTCAGTTGGTTCAAGATCTAACACTAATGCACAAACTGATTTAGTGGAGCCCATTCTATATGGAGAGACACCTTGCTCAGCCTAGACACGGGCGTGGGAGGTGGAGAGGTCCCTTGGTCCTGCCTCAATGAGATGATGGGACAGACTTTGTAGACTTGCTAGGGGAGGAGCAGATGGGAGGTGTGGGGCGGGGAGACGTGGGGGGAAGAGAGGAGGGAGGAGGAAATGGGATTGGAATATAAAAAATAAACTATAAAAAAACTTAATCACACTCCTCCAAACTGAAAACCATCTCCAATAAATAATAATAATGAGTTACAAAGACTATCGCCAACAAGATTTATCATGTCTCATTCAATCTCAGAGCTGTTCCCAGGTCAAAGAATCAGCTTATATCAGCTGTCTTGTAGTTTTTCTTTTCTTTTTGTGTGCTTGTAGCCAAGATTTTCAGATCTCCCCCAGCCAAACCTAATCTCAATGAACTTTGAAGGAATCCCATAGCCTTTCATTTCCTGTGGAAACTAAAGAAAGCACAACCTCTTTCCCAGTGCAACACATTTTTCAACTTTAATTCTGAAGACAAGACATCTCAAAAGTATCTAGACTGGTTTAATCCAGCAGTCCCTTTCATATCATATCTCCCAGCAGTCAGCATTAAAAAAATTCAAAGTTAACAAAGCACCATACAGGAACAAAATACCTTGGGTATGTCTCATCCTTATGTGGCTTTTTTAAAATTACTTTACTCTTTTTTTAAAGACTTCACTTTATTATTTTTAAACTTTTTTTCTATGACTGTCTATACCCATTTTTCTTTTCTTTAGCATTTTCAGCATTCTGTACCTATTTAGAGGTTCTTTTAGGCCTGGACTTGGCCTTACTAAGTACCCACAGTGTTCTCTGATTGTGTGAGCAAAAGCTTCAATTGCTAGGCGGTGGCTAGGTCTCCCTTTGGTTCCCTGACAGCCTAGATTAATGCCAGCAGTGGTAAAGGCATCTATTGCCCCAGCTCTTAGAAGTTGCTGGGACCACCTTGTCAAGTCTCCAAGAGTGGCAGCTGACTGTTGTGATTGCCCATGTGGTGAGTGTGGCCTGGGCCACAGGGCACTCTCCACCACCCTCAACTCTACACACCTGTGCTTTCCAGAGAAGTCCTACCATGACCAAGCAAGGCTGTTGGGTCTCAGTCAGCCACCTTCCTCCAGTGCTACGACTACAAGACACAGACAAGCCCTTTGCTTGAGGAGTGATGGACGGGAGCCACTGAGGCTGACCTGTGGCTTCCCCCGAGTCGATAACCTCAATAGTAGCGGGAAAACAGTAGAAACTGGTAATAACCCATGCAGCATGGTCCCTACCACCACCACGAGAGGTGCCTGATGAGTTCAACAATAAATCTGGGTTAAAAGGAGTGGTGGTGGTTAGTGAGTTTATCTCAATTTTTATTGTGTGCTGAGACACACATGCACCATGGCAGACTAGTATGAGTTAGAAGACAACTTGTGGGAGTTCTCTCCTTGCACTGTGTGAGTTCCAGGGACTGAACTCAGGTTGTCGCACTTGAAGGCATCCTTATCTGCTGATCCATCTTACAAGTCCACGCTTGCCTTACGTTTTATTATTTTTTTTAAGATTTATTTATTTGTTATGCATAGTGTTCTGCCTGCATGTATTCTGCAGGCCAGAAGAGGGCACTGGGTCTCATTATAGATGATTATAAACCACCATGTGGTTGCTGGAATTGAACTCAGGACCTCTGGAAGAGCAGCCAGTGCTCTTAACCTGAGCCACCTCTCCAGCCCCACATTATATTTTCTTGACTTGAACTTAACCTAGCAAGTACCACAGAGTTGTTATGCTTGACACAGGGTCTTGCTATGTTGCCCAGGCTGGCCTCAGATAGGCCAGACCTCGGGTGTCACCACACCCAGCTTTTATGAGGGATGGGAGGTGGTGTACAAAGAGCCCAGGCTGAGGATATGAAGGCAACTTCCCTAAACTGGGCCTCTGACTGAGATCACTGCAATCTCAGGGCATGTCCTGTCACTGCACATAGACCAGCTGCACCCCATCAAGTGAGGCAGAAGCACTTACTGCCTTCTATTTATTTTTACTACTACGGGTTGAACTGGGGTCTAACGCATGCAAACTCTCTCCAGTTGA